AGCAGGCGGGTTGCTGAAGCGCGGGTCCTGCGTGAGTCGCGAGAATTTTTCGAGCGATAGCGCGATCCCCAAATACATTCCGAGGAAGCCCAAAGCGAGAGCGTGATCCCCGAACGCTGAGTTCGCATCGTCGGAATAAATTGTGAGGAAGTCCCACGCGAGAACGCGATTCGCACATGAATTGTAAGGAAATCCCACGCGAGAGCGAGAGTTGGGAATTCATTGTGAGGAAATATCACCCAGGAACCGCTGTTGTTGTAAACCGGGGGTCAACGACGCAGTCTGCGGAGGAAGAGTTTCGTTGACAAAAAACGGGGTGCGAGCCCCAGGACGGGCACTTCATTTGAAAAAGACATGGTATCGAAGGGGGGATCAACATTTTGTGTTTGAAATGAGTAACGCGCATTTGTTACTGGAGGGTGGACCAGCAGTAATTAATCCTTACAATTGAGGACTCAACAACAACACCAACATAACCACCACCAGCAACAATTAGTTTGAGACCGTTCGCTCGTATCTGCCTGCGTGCTATTCAATACGTATCTCCCAAACCCTCGATACCCACCCTCTTCGTCTTCGATCGTGTCCCCTTGGGTGTACATCATTTTTTTTCTCATCTGCGACGTGCATGTCGTACAGCAGCTAAGGCACGGGAAGAAAGGACGGATGGAAGGAAGGGACAAGGAGGAGAGAGGATGATGGAGCACGAGAGAGAGAGTAGCAGTTGGGGGGGCTAGGAGCAGGAAACACGTGGCAGAACCAGGCGGACATATCGGGCGGGTAGAACCTAACAGGCGGGCCCTGGCGGTCAGGTCGAGCAGGCGGGTTGCCGAAGCGTGCGTCCTGCATGCATCGCGAGGCAGCCTTGGGCGACAGCGCGATTTCAAAATTCATTTCGTTAGGAAAGCAACAGCGAAAGCGTGTTTCCTGAGTGTCGAGGGCGCGGCGTCTGAAGAAATGGCGAGGACGTCCCATGCGAAAGCGCGATTGCTGAGTGTCGAAAGCGCGACGCCTGAATAAATTCTGAGGAACTATTAGGCCAGAGCACGATTCTTTGGTGAATTACAAGAAGTCCCTAGCCAGGGCTCGATTCTTCAGTAAGTTGCAACGGGGTGTCAGGCGGGAGCCGCTGTTGTTGTAAACCGGGGGTCGGGGGCATAGTTAGAGCAGGAAGAGTCCACCCGGTAAAAACACAACCAAGCCCCGGGAGGGGCATTTCAATTGAAAACCACGTATGTCACGCGAGCGCGTATGTTTTGCATTATTCGAAAAGAAGTCTCAGGCAACAGCGGAATTCCGAAGTAAACTATGAGGACGTCGAAGGCGAGAGCGCGGTTCCTGAATGGCGAGGGCGTGGCGCATGAGTACATTGTGAAGAAGTCGCAGGCGAGAACGCGATTATCGAATACATTGAAGGAATTCCCTACCGAGAGCGTGGTCCCTCAGTAAATTGCGAGGAAGTGTTAGGCAGGAGCCGTTGTTGTTGTAGTGCTGGGGCCAGGGGCGCAGCTTGAGCAGGAAACATGTTACAGAACCAGACGGGCAGATCGGGCGGGTAGACCCTGACGGGCGGGTCGGGAAGGCGCGGGTTGTTGAAGCGTGCGTCTTGCATGAATCGCGAGAAACTCTCGAGCCGTAGCGCGATTCCCAAATACATGTCCGAAAATCCAGAGCGAGAGTGTGGAGGGCGCGGCGTCTGAATAAATGGCGAGGAAGTCCCGTGGGAGAGCGCGATTCCTGTATAAATTGTGAGGACGTCCCGCGCGAGAGCGCGATTTGGTAATTCAAACGGAGGAGGTATCAGGCGGGAGCCGTTGTTGTTGTAGTCCTGGGGCGAGGGGCGCAGTTTGAGCAGGAATATTTTATTTTATATAAACCAGGGTGCGAGCCCCTGGAGGTGCACTTCAATTTTTCCCTACCTAGGCTCTGCCTAGAAGGGTTCTTACTCGGTGTGCTTAAAGGGCCAGGCAGTGTAACCCGCCCCAGGCGGTTCCCCCAGTATCCGCCCCGCAGTTCCCCCAGTTACGTCTCCTTAGCGTTGCCTATCTCGTCTTAGCTTAGCTTATTTCATCTTAGCTTAGCTTAGGTTCATCTTAGCTCAGGTTTATCTATAGACGTGAGGCCGGCGCCTTCTCAGAAGCAGCCTCCTTCTAAGAAGCCCTCCGCCCTCCCTCCACACCCTTGTGTGCGCCCCCAAACTAAGCTTGCCATGTGGAGGGGGGGGATCACCATCGTTCGACCCATCCTCGCCCCCACTGGGCCATGGCACCGCAGCCCCATTGGTTCGCCCTCCCAGGTGGGGAGAGGCCACGCGAGACTCGAAGGCACACAACCCCGCCCAGATGGGTACCCAGAGATCAGGAATACACACACATATATAGTTATATATATATATAGACATATATATACACATATTTATTCCCTACCTAGGCTCTGCCTAGAAGGGTTCTTACCGTGTTGGCTTAAAGGGCCGGGCAGTGTTCCACGCCCCGGGCGGTTCCCCCAGGATCCGCCCCGCGGTTCCCCCAGTGACGTTCCGTTAGCGTTGCTTATATCATCTTAGCTTGGTTTATTTCATCTTAGTTTCGCTTAGGTTCATCTTAGCTCAGGTTTATCTTAGCTTAGCTTACCTTCACTTTAGCTTCGCCGAGCTTTAGCATAGCAGAGCACAGCATAGCATAGCAGAGCGTAGCACAGCACAGCGCAGCACAGCATATCGTAGCAAAGCCCAGCATAGCACAGCATAGCGCAGCATAGCATAGCATAGCATAGCATAGCGCAGCACATCACAGCACAGCATAGCACCGCGCAGCATAGCATAGCATAGCAGAGCATAGCATAGCACAGCAGCAAAGCAAAGGCAAAGCAACAGCAGCGACAACACAGCAAAGCACAAGCAACGCAAAGCATAGCAAAGCAAAAGCCAAAGCAAAGCAAAGGAAAGGCAAAGCAAAAGCAATGTGCGACAGATGCCGAGCTGGCCTCAATTGGTGCAATTCCCTACCTAGGCTCTGCCTACAGGGTTAGCTTAGCTTAGCTTCGCTTAGCTTAGCTTATCATAGCGCAGCGCTGCAGTAGCATAGCAAATCATAGCGTAACATAGCCAACCATAGCATAGTATAGCATAGCATAGCGCAGCATATAATTGCATAGCATAGCATAACATAGCATCGTGCAGCTTAGCATAGCATACCATAGCATAGCTTAGCATCGCACATCGCAGCATGACATAACATAGTTTATCATAGCTTCGCATAGCATCGCATATCATAGCATAGCATAGCACAGCATAGCATAGCATATCATAGCATAGCGCAGCATAGCATAGCATAGCACAGCATAGTATAGCAACGAATGCTGCTTTCCTAGGGGCTCCAACTTCTAGGTAGGGTCGCACTGGGGTATTTTTTTGTTTAGAAAAGCAGGTTGTTGGGGGATCAGCAACAGTTTTTTTTTCACTAGTGGGACTTCAACACCACCACCACCAACAACTTCAGCAGCAACAGCATCACCACCAACAACAACAGCAACACCACCACCAACAACAGCAGCAACAACAACAGCAAACATCATTTTAAGACTGTTCGCTTTTATCTGCTCGCGGGTCATTCAACACGTCTATTCCAAAACCTCGATACCCGCCTTCTTCGTATCCGATCGTGCCCATCATGGGGAATCGATTTTTCTTACCTGCAACGTGTATTTCGTGCAGCCCCTAAGGCAGGGGAAGGGAGGACGGATGGAAGGAAGGGACAAGGGGGAGGGAGGAGGATGGAGCACGAGAGAGAGAGAGAGAGAGTAGCAGGAGGGGGGCTAGGAGCAGAAAACACGTTGCAGAACCAGACGGGCAGATCGGGCGGGTAGACCCTGACGGGCGGGTCGGGAAGGCGCGGGTTGTTGAAGCGTGCGTCTTGCATGAATCGCGAGGAACTCTCGAGCGATAGCGCGATTCCCAAATAAATTGTCCGAACATCCAGAGCGAGAGCGTGATTCCTGAGTGTGGAGGGCGCGGCGTCTGAATAAATGGCGAGGAAGTCCCGTGGGAGAGCGCGATTCCTGTATAAATTGTGAGGACGTCCCGCGCGAGAGCGCGATTTGGTAATGCAAATGGAGGAGGAATCAGGCGGGAGCCATTGTTGTTGCTGTGGTTGCTGAGGTTCTAAACCGGGGGCCAGGGGCGCAGTTTGGTGACCCTTCGTTTTCTTTGTTAAAATACAGGGTGCGAGTCCTGGGATAAGCATTTTAATAGTAACATGCAATGGTCATTGGAGGGGGGATCAACAATAGCCATTATTTAGAACTGAGAGTCCAACAACAACAGTAGCAACAACAACATAACATCAGCAATAACAACAACAACACAACAACAACAACAACAATAATCATTTTAATGGTAACATGCAATGGTCATTGGAGGGGGGATCAACAATAGCCATTATTTAGAATTGAGAGTCTAACAACAACAGTATCAACAACAACATAACATCAAGAACAACAACAACAACAGCAGCAACAACAACAACAGCAACAACAACAACAACAACAGCATGTGTTTCCATGAGGTTTGGGAAGGATTTTGATGGCCTTTCGGAGGTGTCCTTGGGGAGCCCCGTGTCTGGCCACTTGGAGCTGCCTTTGGGCAGTCTTGGGGCCTCGTGAAGGTATGTTTGAGAATATCTTGAGTCATGTTGGGCTATCTTGTTCGATACCAGAGGCCATCTCGGACTTTCTGGATCCATCTTTGAGCCATTCTGGACGCCCCATCGCGTCGCGACCAGCCCCTTCCAGGCTCGGGCGAGGTCTTCCCCTGACAGGGCGCGCGAACCCCTCCAGTCGCCAGAATGGCACGGCACCGGTGTGTGTTTGTGTGTGTAGGATGCCCGCGCTCCAAGAGGGCTTCAAGAGGCCTCCAAGAGAGTCCGAGAGGCCTCCAAGACGGCCCAAGACCGCTCCAATACGCCCAAGACGGCCTCAAGACAGCCCAAGAGGCCCCCATCCGC